GTGGGGTGGTCTGAGAGCAGGGATGGCCATGGAACAGGGGATGGCTATGGGATGGGGAATGGCCATTGGACCAGGAGTGGCTGTGAAACCGAGTATGGCCATGGAACTGGGGACAGCTGTGGGACCAGGGACTGCCATGATTCCAGAAATGGTCCGGAACCAGTGGTGGCCATGGGGCGGGCACCGCCGTGTGGTGGTGGGATGTCTGCCCAGCCCCCCAAATCCATCTCGTCCCTTTGCTCCAGAAATGGGTCCTGCGGGAGATCTCCAACTTTGAGTACCTCATGCAGCTGAACACCATCGCAGGGCGCACCTACAACGACCTGTCTCAGTACCCCGTGGTGAGCCCTCCGTCCCCACTGCCCCCACAGTGAGACCCTGCCCCCCCATCTCACCCACCTCTCGCCCCCACAGTTCCCCTGGATCCTGCGGGATTACATCTCGGAGACCCTGGACCTCACCAACCCGGCYGTGTTCCGGGACCTGTCCAAGCCCATCGGGGTGGCCAACGAGCGGCACGCCCGTGACGTCAAGGAGAAGTGAGTACCCCACGATTGAAGGATGTGGGATGCAGGGAGCACCTGGCTGGCTCCTGGTGGACCCCATCCCACCTGGCCTGCAGGTATGAGAGCTTCGAGGACCCCACGGGCACGGTGGACAAGTTCCACTATGGCACCCACTACTCCAACGCCGCYGGGGTCATGCACTACCTGATCCGCACGGAGCCCTTCACCACCCTGCACATCCAGCTGCAGAGCGGCAGGTGGGCACCCGGCACGTGAATCCTGCGTGAGGGGACAGGGTGGGGACAGCCGGGCTCCAGCCAGGTGTCCTGTGCCCCCAGGTTCGACTGCTCAGACCGGCAGTTCCACTCGGTGCCGGCAGCGTGGCAAGCCCGCATGGAGAACCCGGTGGATGTCAAGGAGCTCATCCCRGAGTTCTTCTACTTCCCGGAGTTCCTGGAGAACCAGAACGGTGAGGGACGCCATTGTCACCGCTGCGGGGAGCACAGGGGGTCCATGTCCCTCATCGTCCCCATCCTGCCCACAGGCTTTGACCTGGGCTGCCTGCAGCTCTCCAACGAGAAGGTCGGGGACGTGGTGCTGCCACGGTGGGCACGCTCCCGTGAGGACTTCATCCGCCAGCACCGCAAAGCCCTGGTGAGATGGGGAGCATATCCATCCCTGGGGGCGTTTTGGGGGCACAGGGGCCGTTCCCAGCCCACCCTGACACCCCATCCTCGGACAGGAGTCGGAATACGTCTCTGCCCACCTYCACGAGTGGATCGACCTCATCTTTGGGTACAAACAGCGTGGCCCGGCTGCCGTGGAGGCCCTCAACGTCTTCTACTACTGCACCTACGAGGGTGAGCTGTGGGGCAGAGGGAGGGGGACATCTGCTAGGGTGTGTCTCCCCCGTGACCGTCCTTGTCCGCAGGGGCCGTGGACCTGGACGCCATCGCCGAYGAGACGCAGCGCAAGGCTCTGGAGGGCATCATCAGCAACTTCGGGCAGACACCCTGCCAGCTGCTCAAGGTAGCTCAGATCCCCACCCCCAAAACCAGCCCCTTTTGGGGGCATCCTCCCTCCTGAAGGTCCCCTGCCCCYCAGGAACCCCACCCGGCCCGGCTGTCGGCAGAGAGCGCTGCCCGCAGGCTGGCCCGCCTCGACACCCGCTCCCCCAACGTCTTCGAGAACCTGGACCAGCTCAAGTCCTTCTTTGTGGAGGTGAGGACACSCCTGGGTGGGACTGGGAGCGGTGGGGTGGCCAGGAGAGTGCCCAGCAGCCACTGTGTCCCCACAGGGCATCAGTGATGGGGTGGCCCTGGTGCAGGCCGTGGTCCCCAAGAACCAGGCCCATTCCTTCATCACTCAGGGATCCCCTGACATCCTGGTGAGTGCGGGGAAACTGAGGCACAGGGGTGTTTTGCTGGTCCAGGGGGGTCCAGGATCAAACCAGGGGGGCTGGCAGAGGGAACGGTGTCACCTCACCCTGCCCCTCTGCCCAGGTCACCGTGAGTGCCAATGGCCTGCTGGGGACCCAYAGCTGGTTGCCCTATGACAAGAATATCTCCAACTACTTCAGCTTCACCAAAGACCCCACTGTCACCAATGCCAAGTGAGTCACTGGGGAATGGGGCTGGTCCCAGAGGTGCCACCAGGCCACCACTGCCATCCCATGTCCCTCCCCACCAGGACCCAGCGCTTCCTGCAAGGCCCCTTTGCCCCCGGCGCAGACCTCAGCTCCCGCACGCTGGCMGTGTCCCCTGATGGGAAGCTGCTCTTCAGCGGGGGACATTGGGACAACAGCCTCCGGGTCACCTCGTTGGCCAAGGGCAAGGTYGTGGGGCACATCACCCGCCACATCGGTACGTCCTTCTCCCTCCGGGGTGATGATGGTGAAGGTCTGGTGATGGCACCATGGGGTTGTAGGGCCATGGAGGGAGGCACATGAGGGGCACCTCCCAGTGTGTCCATCTCCTGGGGATAGTGCAGGTTCCACCTCAGATCTGGAGCAGCACCTCCACCCCCAAAAACACATCTTGGAATGGGACTGGCAGCAACTCCGCATCCCAAAACACATGGTGGTGCCATCCCGTGAAATCAGGGTGCCAAGCGTGGTGGGAGGGGACCAGTAGCTCATGGTGTCCCTCTGGGTGTCACAGATGTTGTCACCTGCCTGTCACTTGACCTCTGCGGCATCTACCTCATTTCTGGCTCCCGGGACACCACCTGCATGGTRTGGCAGGTCCTACAGCAGGTAAGGGCTCAAGGGGCAGGGGCAGATCGTGCTGGGCACCACCACCAGGTCACTGATGTCCCTGTGTCCCCAACATCAGGGTGGCTTTTCCAGCGGCTTGGCTCCCAAACCTGTACAGGTGCTGTACGGCCACGACGCCGAGGTGACGTGTGTGGCCATCAGCACCGAGCTGGACATGGCCGTGTCTGGCTCCAAGGTGAGCAGGTGGGGCCATGGCCTGGGCAGAGGACGGGCACTGCCACCACCACTGTCACCCTGTGTCCCCTTCCTCCCCTAGGACGGCACCATCATCACCCACACCGTGCGCCGGGGYCTCTTCATCCGCTCCCTGCGGCCGCCCGGCGAGAGTTGTCCTCCTGCCGTCCTGTCCCACCTGGCCGTGGGGCCCGAGGGGCAGGTGGTGGCGCAAACTGCTGTGGGGCAAAGGACCTGCTCCAAGGTACGTCCAGGTGTCCCCATGTCCTCCCCGGGCCACCGCCACCGCCACCACACTCCTTCCCCCCGTGCTGCTTGCAGGACAGGTTCGCACTGCACCTGTACTCGGTGAACGGGAAGCTCCTGTCCTCCGTCCCGCTGGACCGGGAGGTGACAGCCATGTGCCTGACCGAGGACTTCGTGGTGCTGGGGACCTCAGAGTGCGGCCTGGAGATCCGTGAGCTCCAGAGGTGAGGGATGGCCACGCCCTGTCCCGTCCCCACCGTCCCGGGGTTATCCTATGCCATGGTGTCCCATGCCGTGGTGTCCCATGCCTGSCTCGTGTCCCCAGCCTCAGGGCGGCCGTGCCCCCCGTGCCCATGCGGGTGCCCGTGCACAGCGTGTCTGTCACCAAGGAGAAGAGCCACATCCTGGTAGGGCTGGAGGATGGAAAACTCATCGTGGTGGGYGCAGGGCAGCCCGCAGAGGTCAGTGGGATCCCCCAGTCACACCAGGGGGGAGGGGGACGTGGCTCAGTGTCCCCTGGGTGCTCCTGGGRTGGGGACCTCGAGTTTTCCTCTGCAGAGCTGAGGGAGACTGGGGTGGGGTGGGGAAGGGGATGTGGGATACGGATGGGGTGGAGATGTGAGGGAGATGGGGATGGAGAGGGAGAAGAGGATGGGGATCTGGAAGGACATGAGGATGAAAATGGGGACGGAGAAGAAGATGGGATGGAGAAGTAGATGAGTATCTGGGAAGGAATGAGGATGAAGAAWGGGATGGGAAACTGRAAGGAGATGGGGATGGAGAAGGAGATGAGGATCATGGAATGGGATGGAGATGGAGAGGATATGGATGGGGGTGGAGAATGGGATGAGGAACTGGAAGGACATGGGGATGGAGAATGGGTTGAGAATGTTGAAATAGGATGGGGTAGGGAAGTAGATAAGGAGCTGGAAGGAGATGGGGATGGAGAAGGGGATGAGGATCGTGAAATGGGATGAGGATGAGGATGAGGATGAGGATGAGGATGGATAAAGGATTTGGGACTGGAAAAGGCGCTCACTCCCTGTCCCCAGGTGCGGCCAGGCCAGTTCCACCGTCGGCTGTGGCGTTCCACGCGGCGCATCTCCCAGGTGTCGGCCGGAGAGACGGAATACAACCCCGCCGAGGGCCGGGGCTAGGCTGGCACCACCCCCCAGCACCCCYGCACGGACAGGGGCCCCCCGGGCTCCGAGGGGCCCCCGCAGAGCCCCGCCCTGCCCGACAGCCGTGGCCTTACCCAGCCCCACCGGGTTCTCGGGAGCCGCGTCCCCCTTCCGCGGAGGGCGAGGGGACGGGAGGAGGTGGGGACCCCTCGCTGGGAAGGGGGGTGGCCCAGCCCCCCGCCGTGCCCGCTGGCCAGGAGCCAGCAGCGTGGGGGTGTCCCCCGCCTTGTTTTTTATTTCTATCCATTTTTAGAGCTTTTACAGAAAAAGAATTGTTAATAATAATTAATAATAATAATATATCTGTGGAAAATCGGCGTGTGAGGCCCGTGGCTGCCCCAAGAGATGGACACACCCTCTCCTGTGTGTCCCCTCAATGTCCCCCACTTCCGGTGTCCAGCATGGGGGGCGGAATTCTCAGGACTGTCAGGTTGGGGGACAGGGGGACATTGGTGTCCTGAGTGTGGGGAGACTCTGCAGCTCTGTACACACATGTCACGAGTTCGGGGGGGCTCTGCAGTTGCACTCACTCCTGTCACGAGTGTGAGGTCCTCAGCAGCTCTTTATCCACGTGTCACAAATTGGGGGTGTCTCGGTAGCTCTACACAGGTATCACAAATGAGGGGGGTCTCAGCAGCAGCAGCCGTGTCCCCCGTGTCCCAGGGGGTCCTCAGCAGTCCCCACACGTGTCACGAGCACGAGTGGCCTCAACCCCCCGTGGCCTTTGTCCCGTGTCACGAGCACGGGGTGTCTCAGTGTCCCCCGCAGCCCGTCCAGCGCTCGGCGTCCCCCGCGCGTCCCTCCCGGCTCCCGCTGTCCCCGGAGCTGGCAGCCCGTCCTGGCCGCGGCGCCGGAGCGTGTCCTGCGCTGGCCCTGCAGCCCCGGCGAGGCCCCTCGGCTGGCAGTGACCCTTGTCCCCGCTCTGGCGGCGGTGCCACGGCGTCACGTGGGGCACGGGCCACCCGCGGGGCCACCAGAGCCGCGGCAGCAGAGCCGGGAGCGGCCGCGGCGCCGGACGGAGCCATGGACGGACAGACGGACAGGTGGGCAGGGCAGGGAGGGGACAYGGGCCGGGGCAGGTCACGCTGCCGGAGGGTGTTCCCGTCCCGCCGGAGCTTGGACCGGTGTCCCCCTTCCCGGATCTTTGACTCAGGTGGCCCCATCCCGGGTGACCCAGTTCCGGACATCCTGTCCCAAGGATCCCATCCGCAGAGTCCCTTTTCCCGCTGTCTCTGTCCCAGGTGTCCCCATCCCAGGTGACCCAGCCCCGAGTGTTCCAGTCCCATAAGTCCCAGTCCCAGTTTTCCCATCCCAGGTTTCCCAGTCCCAGGTGTCCCAGTCAAAATTGTCCTTGTTCCATGGATTACAGCCCCAGGTATCTCTGCTTACAGTATCCCTGTCCGAGGTGTCCCAGGTGTCCCAGGAGTCCCCGTCCTCAGTTTTCCACTCTCCCATATCCCAGTCCCCGCATCCACTGGCACCAGGGAATCCAGGGAGGGGAGGACACCCCTGAGCAGCCCCCGCACTGACCCCACCCAAAATCCTCCCGGGGTGCGAGGCTCAGCCCCCCACTGACCCAAACCCCCTCGGGGACTCAGACTCCCAGCACCCTCCTCTGGGGCTGTAGGGTGGCTGTAGGGTGGTGTGAGGTGGGGATAGGGGGTTTCTGAAGGTGCAGCGTGGGTTTAGGTTGGGAGGGGGGGTTCACAGCAGGCTCCCCCCACTCCTGCCCCCTCCCCACATTGCCAGCTCGTGGCTGGGAGCCCCCCTGGAGCAGTTACCCACGCCGGCGCTGACCCTGGACCAGGCCACGCTGCGCGGGAACGCCGAGAGGATGCGGGAACGGTGCCAGGCCCTGGGGCTGCGCCTGCGCCCCCACGTCAAAACRCACAAAACCCTGTGAGTGTGACCCCAGAACCCCCCAGGAGCCACCCCAAGAGTCTCCCTAGGATCCTCCCAACATGTCCTGCTCATGCCACCAGCCTCTCCCCTGCATCCCTCCCATTGTCCCCACCCTCCCCCTCAGTACCCCTCAATATTCCCCCGTTCTCCCCCAGCATCTGCCCATTCTCACCCCAAAATTCTTCTCCAGTATCCCACATCCTTCCCATCAGCATCCCCCAGCTCCCTCCCCAGTATCCCCCWCTTCCTTCACCAGCATTCCTCCGCTATCCTCCCAGCATCCCCCCASTTTCCCACCCTGTCTCCCCCAGCATCCCCTCAGCTTCACCACCAGCCTCTCCCCAGGATCCCTCCAGCATCCTCCCAGTATCCCCCATCCTCCCCTTCAGCACCCACCTTCCCCAACAGAACCCCTCCTGTATTTTTCCAGTATCCCTCTTAGCATTCCCCATATCCCCCCTGAAAACGCCCTAACTTCCCCCCAATATCCCTCTGTTATTCCTACAGAATCCTCCCGGTGTCCCCCCATCCTCTCCCTTCCCCCTCAGGCATCATCCCTTCCCTTCCCTCAGCCTCACCTTCCCCCCGGGTGTTTTCCCATCCTGCCCAGTATCTCCCACCCTCCTCCCAGTATCCCCCGTCCTCTCCCTCAGCACCCACCTTCTCCCCCAGAATCCCTCCCAGCACCCCCTCATTCCCCGGCATCCCCCCATCCCTCCCCGCYCTCCTCACCCCTCAATCCCCGCTTGCCAGGGAAGGGGCGGAGCTGGCCACGGGCGGGACCCGCCGGGGCATCGTGGTGTCCACGCTGGCCGAGGCGCGCTTCTTCGCGGCCGGGGGCTTCGATGACATCCTGTACGCGTTCCCGGTGCCGCGCTGGCGCCTGGCCGAGTGCGCGGCCCTGGCGCGGCGCCTCCAGGCGTTCCAGGTGCTCCTGGACAGCCCGCAGGGGCTGGAGCTGCTGTGCCAGAACCCCCTGCCCGGCGGGAAGCGCTGGCTCGTCTGGCTCAAGCTGGACTGCGGCAATGCCAGGGGTAGGTGACCCCGCAGTCCCAGCCRGGTGCACGGAGGGTGTCCTACCCCGAGGGCTTTCATCCAGAATGGGCCATGGGGTGGGATGTGCTGTGCGCTCCCCACATCCACCATCCCCACAGGATAGACATCCAAGACCCCCCAAAAGTCATTCTTCAGGGATGTTCCTTAGGGAATGATGTCCCGTGTCCCTCAAGCCCCCACATCCACCATCCCCACCAGGATGGGACATTAAAGATCCCCCAAAGTCATTTTCCAAGCCCTGTCATGGGTCAGAGGTGGCCCAAAGACCCCCAAAGGGACCTTTAACCCTTCCTTCCCTCCCCAAMCCCATTCCCACGTTGCCACCACCCCGATGCTCCGTGAGGATAATGTCCCAGGGTCCCCTCAACCCTCGTCCCCAGAACGGGGGAACCCAAACCCCTCCCACGCCTCTGTCCCCTCCGACAGCCGGGATTCGTCCCACGGATCCCGAGGCGCTGGCCCTGGCCCGCGCCATCGCCGAGGGCTCCCCGGAGCTGGTGACACTGGTGGGGGTCTACGCCCACTGCGGCAACACCTACRGCTGTCGCGACATCCCGGCCATCCAGGCCATCGCCCGGGACACCACCGCCGCCGTCCTGGAATTYGTCACCGCGTGAGTGCCCGGGACTGCGGGGATTTGGGGACAGGAAGGGTCAAGGCGGCCACCGTCCCCTTCCCAAAATCCGGCGCTGGGTTGTAAATGTGAATCACCCCCATAAAGGGGCCCTCAAAGCCCCCCCGGGGGGCGCCGGGGGTGGTGGCGGCGCCGCTCGCCTTTGATGTGGCTCCGGTGGCGGGTTGTGACCTGGGGCATTGTCCCCTCCCTCCTCCCTGGCACCCTTTCATCCCGGCGGGATTCGCATCCTGCAGGGAATCGCGGCCGGATGGTTCCTGCTGGGAGAGGGGGAGGGCAGCGACCTCGGCCCCCGCCAGGGACAGGGCTGTGCCCACCTGGGGACAYGTCCTGGGGGTCCCTGGCCCGGCCYGGCCCRGGTGGCACCAGCTCGTGCTGGGGACACCCCAGATCCCACCCCATCCCCGAAACCGGGGGCTGCCAGGCACACCAGGCCTGGTTCCAAGCACATCTGGAGGGGTGCTTGGGTACATCTGGGGGTCAAGAAATATCTGGGAGGGGTCCCGGGTATAACTGGGGTGCTCTGACACAATTTGGGGGGTGYTGGAACAAACCGGGGGCTCCTGTGCACATGTGGGGGCACTCTGACACCTCAGGGCGGTCCCTGGAACATCTGGATGCATTTTAGCACATCTGGGGAGATCTCCAGCTCCTTTGGGTGCATCTCAGGGACATTTGGGGGAGGCCTGGCACATCTGGGGATSGTCTGATACCTTTGAGGGGATCCCAGGCACATCTGGGGGTGTCCAGCTCCTATGGAAGGATCTCTGGGGGATCTGGGGGGGACCTGGGGGGACACACACACACACCAGCCCCGAGCCTTTGAGGGAGGTCTCTGGCACATCTGGCTGGCCTCTGGACATRTCTGGATGTGTTCCCAGCACATCTTGAGTTCTCCCTGGCACACTGAGGGAGGCTCTGCCACATATGAGTGGCTCCCCTGAGTGTTTGGGGCACCCAACACCTGGGGGCACCCAAAAGTGCAGGACCCATCTTTGGTCTGGCTCCCGGTGGCGCCCAAAGGTGACAGACCTGGCTCTGGTCACCTGGGGGTGACGTCCCCTCCCCGATCACCCAGAGGGTGTCTCCCGTGTGTCCCCAGGCTGCGGCAGGCGGGSATCCCGTGTCCCCAGGCCACCATCGGCTCCACGCCGTCCTGCAGCCACCCGGTGCCGGAGATGGCGCAGCTCACCGAGGTGCACCCGGGCAATTACCTCTTCTACGGTGAGCGGGACGGGCTCCCCGGCCGAGTGGGACCCTCCGAGGGCGGGACCCCCCCCGAACTGAGCCCTCGTCCCCCCAGACCTGCAGCAGACCCAGCTGGGCTCGTGCCGGCCGGAGGAGGTGGCGATCCGCGTCCTCACCAGGGTCATCGGGCACTATCCCCACCGCGGGCAGCTGCTCGTGGACTGCGGCTGGGCCGGCCTGAGCCTCCACGGCMGCGGGCACGGAGCGCAGGGCTGTGCCGCCATCGAGGGCCACCCCCAGCTCAGGTGACACCGGGGCGGGCCGGGCTGGGGGGACACGCGCGGGCGGGAGGTGACAGGAGGYGCCTCGCGTGTCCCCGCAGGTTGGTGGGGCTGACCCAGGAGCACGGGCAGGTGGAGGCTGTGGATGGGAAGCTGGACTTCGAGAAATTCCCGGTGGGAAGCATCTTGGCTCTCATCCCGTACCACGTGAGTGTGAGCCCTGAATGTCCCCCTGTCACAGCCTTGTGGCCGGCTCGGTGTCCCCTCTGTTACCACCCTGTGCCCAGCTCGGTGTCCCCTCTGTCGCAGGCCTGTGCCACGGCCGCCATGCACCCCGTGTACTTCGTGCACAGCGCCGGGAAGGTGGTGGAGCTCTGGCGCCCCGTGCGCGGCTGGTAGAGACGAGAGAGCGGAGATCCCGGGGGGACGCGCCCGCACCCGGACCCTGCACCCGCCTGGGGACCCTGCACCCACAACGTGACCCCGCACCCACACCAAGGTCCTGCACCCTCACCAAAACGCGGAACCCACAAGATCCTGCGCCCACACCAAGACCCCACACAGTCCCTGCTCTCCCACTGACACCCTGAACYCCCCAAAACGTCCTGCACCCAATCCCAGTCTGTGCACCGCCGCTGGAGTCCCACAGCTGCATCAAAACCCTGCACCCACGGCCAGGTCCTGCATCCACGTGGGGTGCTGCGCCCACTCCCACACCCTGTACCCACTCCGAGTCACTCCACCCACCCACCCCACGTGCTGCAKCCACACCGGGGCTCAATAAAGCTGCTTCTCCCGCTTCCAGGCACTTATTGCCCCGTGGCAGGGCCGTGTGTAGGCGGAGGAGGGGAGRGGTGACACCGCCCCCCGATGCCCTCGATCCCAGTTCGGATCAGTGCGGTCCCAGTTCGGCCCGGTCCCGGTGGGAGCGCCCCAGGCGGGACTCGAACCGGGGAACTCCCGATCTGCGAGCAGCGGCGCTCCCCGCCTGGCCACACCCCCGGCCGCGAGCAGCCAATGAGAGCGCGCCCCGCCCGGCCCTGCCCGGGGGAGCCACGCCCAACCCGGCCCAGGCGCGGCGGGGCGGCCGAGGGGAGCCGAGCGGAGCCGAACCGGGGCCGGAGGGAGCCGAGCGGAGCCGAAGTAAACCGAACCGAGACCCAGCGGGGCCGAACCGACACCGAGCCGGGCCGAGAGGAGCCGAAGGAAACCGAACCGGGACCGAGCGGAGCCGAGCCGGGACCCAGCGGGGCCGAACCGGGCGGAGCCGGAGCGGTTCGGCCCGGTTCGGAGGGGTTCGGCCCGGTTCGGAGCGGTTCGGCCCGGTTCGGAGCGGGGGTACCGGGCCGGTCCCGGTCCCGGCGATGCGGCCGCTCCCGGTGCCGCTGCTGCTGCTGTTGCTGAGCCCGGTGCGGGTGGGACGGGACCGGGACTGGGATTGGGATTGGGATTGGGACCGGGAGGGGACGGGCCGGCTCTCCCGCTGCCCCGGGGCGCTCCGGTCACTTCGCTCCGCGGCTTTTGTTGAAGTTTTCTGGGTTTGGTTCGGTTCAGTTTGGGCCATTTCGGTTCAGTTCCTTTTCTTTCATTTTATTACATTTTTTCTCCATTTTTTTCTTTATTTTCTTTTATTTTCCTTTTTAAATTTTTCCTTTTTTAAATTTTCCTTTTTTTCATCCTTTTAAATTTTATTTTTTCTTTCTTTCATTTTTATTTTCCTCTTTTATTTCATTCTCCCTTTTAAATTTTCACTTTCTTTTATTTTCCTCTTTAATTTTATTTTCCTTTTTAATTCTCTTCTATTTTCATCCTTTTATTTCATCTTATCCTATTTTACTTTCCTTATTTTCCTTTACTTCACTTTGTTGTATTTTCCTTTATTTCACGTCCTTTTCCTTCCTTTCATTTTAATTTACTTCAGATTTTCCCTTTCTTTCCCTTCGTTTTATTTCATTTATTTCTTTTCATTCSTTTCCATTTCAATGCCTTTTATCTCCTTTTTATTTACTGTTTATTTCYTTTCCTTTCTACTCTTTCCGTTTGATTCCCCACTTTTATTTATTTCTCTTTATCGTCGTTATTTATTTTTACTGCTCCTCAGTCCCTGCTCCCACTTTTTACCCCTCTGAACCCCCTTTTTCCATGGTTTTGGGGGGATCGCAGTGGGAATTCGCGGGGTCCTGAAGCGAATTAAGGGGAAACTGAGGCAGGACCCCCCCTCACTGTGCCCGCAGGTGCCGGGGCGGGGCGGGGGGTGCCCCCCGTGTCCCCCCGGTGTCCCCGAGCCCTGCGACAGCCGCTGCCCGCCCTGCGCCCGCAGTGAGTACCCCAAAAACACCCCGCACCCAGAAATACCCCGAAACAACCCCAAATCCCCCAAAATGCCCCAAACCCGCAGCGCGGAGCCCCGCGGAGGAGGAGCCGGAGGAGCCGTGCCCGCCCTGCCCTCCCTGCAGCCGTGAGTGGCACCGGGACCCCAAAYTGGGGAGGGGGGGATTGAGGGGGGACTGAGCCGCGGGTCCCCCTTTCGTGCCTCGGTTTCCTTTTCGTGCCTCAGTTTCCCCTCGTCATTCCCTACTTTCCCCGTATTCTGCCTCAATTTTCCCTCGTTGTGCCTCGGTTTCCCAGCTTGCCTCAGTTTCCCCACTATTCTCCTTAATTTTCCCGTGTTCTGCCTCAGTTTCCCCTCGTGCCTCGGTTTCCACGCGTCATTCCTTAATTTCCCCACCTTGTGCCTCAGTTTCCCTATATCCTGCTTCAGTTTCTCCTTCATTTTCTCCTGTCGTGCCTCAGTTTCCCCATGTCGTGCCCCAATTTCTCCTTGCCTCACTTTCCTTTTCTGTGCCTCGGTTTCCTTTCATCGTGCCTCAGTTTCCCCACATCGTTCCTTCGTTTCTTCTTGTCCCGCCCCAGTTCCTCAGTTTTTCCACATCGTTCCTCMCTATCCCCATGTCGTGCCTCAGTTTCTCCGTTTCATGCCTGTTTCCTCAGGTCATTCATCAGTTTTCTCATCTTGTGCCCCAGGTTCCTCAGTTTTCCCTTTTTCACCTCATTCCCTCTTTCAGTGCCTCAGTTTCCCCTCGTGCCTCAGTTTCCCTTTCTCACCTCACTTCCCCTTTTCCACCTCATTCCTTCGTTCTGTGCCTCAGTTTCCCCTTTTTTTTTTGCCCCATTACCGCTTTCGGGCGTGTTGCCCTTGTTTTTACCTCATTCCCTCTTTTCGTGCCTCGGTTTCCCCTTTTTTCCCTCATTCCCCCTTTTTTCCCTCATTCCCCCTTTTTTCCCTCATTCCGTCTTGTTGTGTCCCATTTTCTCCGCGTGCCTCAGGGGTGACCGGGGGGGTGTCCCCAAAATCGGGGGTCCTCTCCCCAGACACACCCCCTGCCCGCCCCCACCCCGCTCCAAAGGGAAACTGAGGCACGGCCGAATTCCCTTCACTTTTGGGGGTYCCGCAGACGAGACCGCGGCGCCGCTTCCTGGGGGGACCCGGGCGGTGTCGGGGGCCCCCCGAGTGACCCCGCCGGTGTCGGGGGCCCCCCCSGAGCCGCCCCCCGGGGACATCATCCCCCTGTACTGCGCCCTCCTGGCCGCGCTCGTCGTGGGGCTCGTGGCCTACGTGGCCTTTAAATGGTGAGCGGGGGGCGCCGGGGGGGACACGCGGGGAATTGGGGACCCCTGTGACCCCCCCGTGTCCCCTCCGTGTCCCCCCAGCTGGGACAGCTGCAGGAAGAAGCGGCAGCTGGACAAGGCGCGGGACGCGGGGGACGCGGGGGTGGCGGCGGACGGGGACAAACTGCGGGGGGACGGCGGCACCGGCGGGGACAGCCCCGGGCGACCCAAGACCCGTGAGCAACCGGGACCGGGGGTGGGGACAGCCAGCCCGGGGGGGTTTGGGGACACTCAGTCCGGGGGGATTCAGGGTTTGGGGGGACCCGGTAATTTGGGGAGGTTGCAGGGTTTGAGGGGGACACACAGCCTTGGGAGGAGTCAGAGCTTGGGGCACCTGAGAATTTT